GGGGAGCAGGGTGCCCCCGGCACAGCATGTCTTTGGGCAAGCTGCTGCTAAGCATGGAGTGTTGGGGGGCTTGGGGTGGTGCTCCACTGAGGGGGGCAGAGATACAGGTCCTGCTCACCCTTGCAGTGCTGCTGGCAGTTTTCCACGTGACATGGCTGCCTGGACTTGTCAGCCCCTGCTTTAAACTACACCAGCCAGGATCTGAAAAAGCAAAGGATCCTGCAGAAAATAGGCAGAGCCCTGTCTGCATCTGAGGCCCAGGGGCACAAGGTGGGGAAGCGCAGGAGTCCTGTGTGCACAGCCCCATCCCAGAGAGACGGCTGGTCCCCTCAGGCCCCCCAGAGGCACCTGGCTGCCAGCAAGGTCTGGCTCAGCCGTGTCTCCGTGCTGCACAGGCAGCAGCCCAAGGGGCTATTGCTGCCAAGGCTCTGCAGGGCCACGTGGCAGCAGATCCCCGAGAGTGGCCTGTCACAGGGGCTGCACAGCCTGCAGGGCTGGTGCGGCTGCAGGAGCCCAGAACCCACCCTGCTGTGGTCCCTCACTCGATGCCCCCCGCTTCGGGGTCTGAAGGAGGAAAGGCGGCACTTTTCCCTCCTGCCACTATCCAGCAGTGAAGGGTGAAAGGTGGGTGCTCCCTCTCCCTGCCTGCACAGCCCTGTTTTGGGAGGGAGAGGATGGCAGGGCATGTGGGGTGCTGGGATGGACTTGCCTGGGTTCTCATGTTAACTTGCATTGAAAAAACAGAGCTCCGTTCAAAGTACGCGCCTGCACCATGCTGCAGCTCACGAAAGCATGGTGCATGCATGTGGGTTTTTCATGGGTGTCCTTGGACTGGCTGGGGGTCCCTGACATTGCCTGGAGTATGGGCTCGAAAGGGAGATACCCTTGCCAGTGCCGCATGGCAGGGAGCATGGTGATGAAGCCTGACCTCTCCAAACCACCATCCCCAACCCCCCCATACTTACGGGGCTCGTGGATGCCTGGGTAGTCACTGAACTCCAGCACATAGAGGTGTCGGCCCTCGACGCTGCGGCCAATGCTGTAGATGCGGGTGATGTAGGGGCATTGGCTCTGCACACGGAATAGGGCCTGCACCATCTCCTCATAGCGATGGTGGAGGAAGCTGAGGGCGGCCGCCCCCTCGAGCAGGAGCAGCGCTCCCACGAGGGACCGCAGCCACAGAGCCATCCTCCCACGGCGCTGCGCGCCCTCACCAGCTCCGGGCCCTCGGCTCCTTCCCAGCCGGCAGCTTAAAGTGCAAACTCCAACCAGCTCTTTCCAGTTCCCGAGTGCCAGCCCCCTGCACCTGCGGGCGGGGGGCGGCGGGAGCGGGGCTCGCCGGGGCCTCGCGGCACAGGAATGCTCCCCCCGCCCGCCCGCCGCCGAGCCCGCTCTCCGCCGTCGGAGGAGGTTCCCCCCCTGCTCCAGCTCACTTATTAACCGGACAGTAAACAGGCCCCCGCAGCCACTGGCTGTCACTGCAGAAGAAGCGCAGGGCTGGAAAACTGGCTGCGGAGGGCGCTGGGGCTGCCAAGAGCAGGACAAGCGGCGGGGCGGGGGAGTGCGGAGGGGGGGGGCGGGTGGGGAATGCCTGTCGCAGAGCCCTTCCGTTGGACCCGAGCCGAGCGGGGTGAGGATGGCGGCGGGGCGGCCGCGGTGCCCGCACGGCTCCCGCAGCCCTGCCCGGCTCTGGCAGGTCCCGCCGCTCCTCCGCGGGTCCCGGACTCCCCAGCTCGGAGCCGCGCCTGCTCATCTGCCCCATCCCGGGGAACCAGAGGGGGGCATCACAGCCGGCTCCTCTGCCCAGGCAGTCCCGCTGCTCCGGGGTAAACGGAGGCAGGGACAGCATCGCCCTCCCCACAGCTGCCTACCCAAGCAGCCGAGCCAGTATATTCAGGGGGAGGACAGGGCAACGTAGTGTTTTGAGGCAGAAGTCTGCTGCGCAGGTTCCAGCACGGAGAGCTCTGCTCGGGAGGTCTGGTCTCACCCTCCTGTATGCTGTGATACTGAGCTCCAACAGGTACTGGACAACTATCAGCAGAAGAGAGCTCAACAGCTTAAGGGCAGATGAAAATGCTCTATTGTCTGTTAAGAAACTGGAGGCTGTTTCTGGATTTGGGGGAAGCTTGTTCCTCTCCATCACCTCGAGGTCCCTGTGCTCCTCTCAGGGGCAGCCTTGCTCTGCAGCCTTACCCCGTGGGGCTACAGCTCCAGCAGCTTAGTGGCTCTGGAAAACATCTGTATAAGGACATCCCTGACATAGAACCCAAACATGGGCACAAGCAGCCAAAAGATTTACTGCCATGGCTGGACATGTGAGGAGAGAGGCTCCCTTTGCTAACGTGAGTGTGCCATGCTGCTCTGCCTGGGTCACACTAGAAAGGAGCTCCTCCTGCCATCAGCAATGGGATTCTCAGGATACTCAGTGCCATGCTAAACATCTGCCTTCCCTGCAACCTTGACATGGATCCACACTGCATTGCTCTAATGACAAGGATTGCTGTAGCTGCCTCTTCCCCCAACAAAGCATTCTCTACCAGTGCTGCCCAGCACTGCTGCTTTCCTACCTGTCCTCCACATCTGCTTGGGCCACCGACCGCCTTTCTGCCTCAATTTCCCAGGAAGAGCACCAGTAAAACCAGGGAGCCCTGTTCATAGGATCTAACACAAACAGTGCAGGCTGGTGGGCAAAGCATGTGGCTTGCCTGCTCCTGCCTTGACTTACTCAGACTTTCCGGCTTCCAACTTTATTCTGTCACAGTCCACCATAATGTTCCTTTCTCTCCTTGTCGCTGTGCCTGCTTGGTCTTCTGCTTCATCTGCACAGTACCCTCCTCTCAATTTCTTCCCACCCCCCCGCCCCCCCCCAAAAAAAAAGAGAAAAAAGTCCTGTTTTTGAACAAATGTCTCTTGAAGATATGAGAGGAAAAAATATACTATACATAAAGACAGCAGTGGCCATATTAATACCTTCTCCCAGTTAATCATCCCACCACATCCCCGCGTGTCAGTCAGTCTCACACCTTCAGGAGCAGGAATGGCATTGCACCATCTTTAACTGGGTGGCAAGAAGCGGTGCTGAGGTGCCAGCTTCTGCTAGCACTTTAGGAAACCAAGGAAAGGTAGCTGAGGCTTTGGCGGGGCATGGTGAGCGTGGGTATGGTAGGACAGCTCTTATCTCTGCAGCAAGCTGTATCTGGTGGTATTCTGTAGAGCTGGCAGCTCATGCAGCAGTGGGAAATGCCCTTGCCTCTTTCACATCACTGCTCTCAGGGCTGCTGCGTTCCTGTGGAGCTGCTCTCTCCCCAGCTTTCAGCGACCAAGGCAATGCAGAAGAGGTGGGCAGGGTTCCAGCGCTAGCCAGTGTTACTTGGCAGCCAGCGGGTCTAGGCAGGGCTATAGTAAAACAGCACAAACACCCATGTTTGGTCTATTTTTCCCCTCCCCATACTCTTCCCAGGCTGTTTTGAGTATCCTGGTACAGCAGTGGCAGAGCTGGAGCTGCAGTGCTGCCAAGGGACACATGAGAAAGGCTCTCACTTTCCTATGGAGACAAGCAAAACTGATGTGAGAAACAACAGAAAAAAGAAATGCCATGAGCAAAATCTGGGGTGGGTGTAGAACGAATCTCAAGCACTACTAGTGTAGGGATGGAGGCAGCCTGTTATCGGGCAGCAGGTTTAAATCAAACACAAGGAAACAGTTTTGCACACACTGAAATTACCTCATCAAAGCTAAAAGTTATATGAGTGCAAAAGAGCATAGGATGAATTCATAGAGAATGGGGCAGCTTCAGCTATTAGTTATGCAGATCCAGAAGCAATTGCTCATAAATTTCCTATGCCCCTGATGGCTAGAAGGATTATGTTCCTTCTCTAACCCTCCATCTGAATCCTCACGCACCACTCAGCTGGAGACCAATGCCAATGCACTGCATGTCTGATCTGACCTAACACAATTCTTACTACATTCTAGGAAAACAACATGGTAATGAAGTTTTAAGCCAATGGTAAATTTGGACATGTTAAAAAGCACTGATGAAAGCAGAAACAAACGATGTAAGACATTAGCTCTTAGAAACAGTGCAAGAAATAAACAAAGACTTAATTTGGAAAATGCAGCTAATACATCTGGGATGGATCATCCGCTTCCCACTCCCAGATGTTCAAAGATGGAGAGACCTTGAGGCGGTGGGAGAAAGAGGGCAATCACTGTGTGCTGTGCCACAGTGGCACAAGTGAGAAGAATGTGAATGCGATTCCTGTCCCATCCTTCGTTGCGCAGCTGAGCGTTGCAGGCAGCAAGGAGCCAATCCCTCCAGAGCTGCCCATGGAAAGACTCCACCTGGTGCGTTTGCTTTAATTCTGGCTGTACTGTTACAAGAGGAAGATTGGAAACTGAGGAAAGTTGAAGCTAAGAGCCGTAAGAGCTAAGAGCAAACTGGGGGGAGTGCGCACTGAAAGGAAAATGAACCATGACAAGCATGTTTGCCTTGGCAGAGATACAGCTCTGGCTACACACAGAGGCAGGCAGGCACGTGGCCCTGTGAACCAGGGGCACAGCCCCCCCCATCCTTCACTTGGTTTTGGGGGTTTTAGTGCCAGTGTGATTCTGGTGGTGCTGCCTGAGGGAGAGAGAAGGGAAACGAGGACAGAGGACTGTAGCCATCGAGTGTGTGACAGGGGACGACAGGCTGCTCTGGGGAGGTCAGAGTAAAGCTAAAGCAAGAAAAGATGGGGTTTGGGCACTAGCAGGCTTCTGGTGAACAAGTCCACCTGTGTGAAGTGCCCAGAGCTTGGGGTGGACCAGAGTGCCTTTCTCTGCCAGGAGAGGATGCTGCCAATCCACCAGGAACTTCAGATCTGACCCAGGAGAACAGCAAGGAACTGGCAAGAGAGGAAATCCCATCTCAGGACTTTTCCATGTTTAGTGGCAGAGGCTCCATTCCCAATACTGGAGAGTTCCCGTCTTCTGGAAAACAGCACAAAACTTTTCTGGCATCAGTTCAGAAGTCTTTATTATGATAAGGATACAGAGACTTGTGCGTGCACCGAAACAAAGATCCATTTTATCAGGACTGAACTGCAAAAAGCAAGTGCATGGGCTGGGTAGCAGGGACTGTTGTCCTCCTTGTGTCTCCCCCAGCCCCTGCTGCGAAGGCTGTTGAGCCCCATGGTACAGCCAGCAGCTCTGCAGAGCCTGCATATCCCCCCTGGCACAGAGCATGGGAAGAATTGGGATGGAGAAGGAGGGAGCACACATCCAGCTGAGAGCTGTTCTTGGAGAAGCTGGGGAGCCCTGGCCAGCACCAACACTGCAAATCAACCTCTAACCACAGAGGTGATGACCTTGCTTCCGAGAGCTTTCTTGCAAGTGGAGGCTCCACTGTGCTTTGCTGTAGGGCCAGAGAAATCAGCTGTAGCCTGTGCAGAGGAGAGCTCACTGTGTTGAGTCGCACTTGGACCCTGAAGTGGGGACTGGTTGTTTTCTGCAAGAGCTGTTCATGCTGCCGGCACCCATCCTCTTGTGAGAAGTACTGATAGTTTTGCCTCACACCTGATACTTGGGTGACTGTGCTTGTGGAAGTCATCAGGCCCAGAAAGACAGGAGCTGCTCCTGCACCCTGCAAAAAGCTGTCTAATCCTCCTGCAAGAAACCTTCCCAAAAATGGACCACTCAGTGTTTTAACCCAAAGTAGAGACACTCATCCCACCGCACTGCAGCACGTCTCAGGGCTTCCTGTGGCAAAACAGGAGACACCAACGTCTGGAATCTCAGCAGCCCAGCAGAGTGGATAGTGAAAAAATACTTGCAAGACAAGAACATGTGGTGTTAAAAGATGCTTTAACCCAGAAGAGCAAAACTGTACAGGAGCCAGTGGCTGCAAATTAAAGCCAGAAGCTACCAAATCAGAAATAAGGCACAGATAATTATCAGTGAGGCAGATCAACTGCATTAACAAGTGATACCATATTATTACTGGCGTATTTGGAAATTCCCCCCACTATCATTAATGACCTTCACATATGCTTTGGGTAGCTCTGCAACAGATATTTCAGCTGCATACAGCTGGGTCAGATGCAGCACAGAAGCAAAGAAATTAATGTTTATTAAACTTGAACTCTTTGACCAAGAAATTTGAATAGCCTCCATGGACAAAGTCCATCAATAGCAGGAGAAGTGGGGAGAAAAATCATACGCTTTTCTCGGAAGGTTCAAGAACAGCCATTGATATGCAAGGGTATATCAATACCTGGGTATTCAGGGTATATCATCCCTGATAGGATGCCTTCAGTCAACCAATTCCTGGAGCCTCAGCCTGCTCAAGTGATTTTTAAATAGTGTGTCTGGTGCCACCTTAGGAATTCTAGCTCTGGAGAGACTGGCTCATAAATATGATATGAAAGTCATAAGCATTAAAAACAATGCAACATTTCATATTGTTTATCTTAGTTTGGGGCCTTAGGTTGCACTCAAGTCATGTTTACAGCTTAAAAAAACAGACCCAAACCAAAAGGTAAGAAGAAAGACAGGAGGGAGTAAGCAAAGATACCAGCTGATCACCTGACCCCAGAGTCAAGAGCTAGCAATATTAATACTGTGGAACTTGCCATAAGGATAGAGAACGTTGCTAAAACTCTCCTTCCAGGTTCTGTATTTGACCTTTTCCTTTGGCATAAACCCTCAGCAGGGACCAGGAGAGCAGACTGGCACAGGTGTTGCCTCCACACCAGCTTCCACATAGAGTTTCTTCATCAGTTTCCAACTTGTCCCAATGAAACTGCTAGTTCCAGCATCATGGACACAATAAAGCAGCTGCCAGATCCCTGAGGAAGTCTCAGGAGAGGAATTGCCATTCTTCAGGTTTCCACACTGATGCACCAGCTCATGTGGGGAGCTTCTCCAGGTCACCTTCAGTCTACTGTGAAGACTCCATAGACAAGGGAAGTGTGTGTGTGTATCCTGTGTACATCCATATGCAGGATGGGGTGTGTTGCAAGTGTGGCTGACGGGGGAGCTGAAGCAGCTTTAATCACACGTTACTCCTGCATGCTTTCCAGCCATGACCAAAACCTACTGTTAACCTCTCCTCTACCTATCTTTGCTGAAAACAACAGAAGGAAAACTCCATCTCTAGATGAATTAAAACATCTCAATGCATTTGCAGATAAAGCAATAACTGGTCACTGGACAAACAATATGGGAAAGTGTCATTCACAGGTTGATCTTGCTTGATTAATACATGTTTCAATGGAGTCATGTGGAAGGCAAAGAGGCTGATGTTGAGACAGTGATGTATGGTGTGAGACAGTAGCCATTCTGGAATGCAATGACTGGAAAAATAAAGCCAAGTTACAATACCCCAACTGGAAAATCAGCCCCAAAACTTTCTCTTAAGTGAGCAGATCTTGCCCGGAGATATAGAAATGGGGAACATAGAGCATAGATCAAACCCAGAGGGTGTTACTTTTATATACACTATTAGTGACTCTACTACCACTCACTTCTGAAAACTTTGGTGTCCATGTTTCAGAAAGATGTAAAAATTTTCAAAGAAGTGGTGTCAAGAGCTACAAGTGGGGTCAGCACAGAGCACTTTACAGACTGAAGGTCAGTCTGGTTAGAATGATAGAATGATGACTTGCAAGCACCAACAAGGAAAAAGGGATTTTGGTAGCAGAGACTTACTCAGTCTTTCTGAAATGGGCAGGACAAGATCTGTCAGAAGCTGAAGCCAGCTAATTCAGAGGAAAAGTAAGACAGATTTTTTTGAAAAAAAGTTAACTGCCCATAGATCTTACACATCACAGGGTATATTTTTCCCTTACCTTTAGGTCCTTCCACATGTTATGACTCCTACTTCCAGGCATGAAGTAGAAATAACTTGGGGGACACTTTGAAGCCTGCACCATACAGAGGGACAGGGTGGGAGGGCATGAAAACCCCAAGCTCGGTGTCTGTGCTTGCCTAAAGGATGCAGCTTTACTGGGGTTGCACATCCTGATCCCTCTGTGCCTTCTACACCTTTGCTCAGGGAAACAAGCAAAGGTGTGTGTTTGCCATGTCTTTCTCTCACAGTATCAGTTTTCTTTTGGCCTCCAGCACTTGCAAGTCATTAGGAGAAGAGATTTCCAAAATTTCATGGGAGGAAGACAGGCACCAGTGGTTTCCAAGTGTTCTTATGAAAATGGATTTCTGACCTACCTCTTTCCTGGGGAGGGGGCACCAAGGAATGGAAAGTGAAAGAAAGTGATTCATAAACCTGATCAGTGGCATCACCTCAGCTGTGTGCTAGAGGATGAGCTGCGGTACTTGCATTCACAAGCCCTGGGTCTTATGGTCATGGGATAAACTTAAGCCATTAATTTTCACTGATTTTGCTGGTGGCAGGAGTGGTTCAATCTGTGTGTGCTCATGCTAGTTAACTGCTGCCAGCTGCCTATTTATAAAGGAACTTCACCTAATAAACATTTTCTCTAGATCAGAGGCTGCCTTATGATCAGCACAGTGACACTGGATTGCTTTAGTGAGTATGTACCTGTAGGCATGCAGATCACACCAGAGTCCTTCTAGGCCTAAGCACTCACTACTGGCCAAGGATCCTCGGCCAGTACAAGCTGTTCCTATAAAAACCAGCAATGCCTGGCTGGGAATTCGTGTCAAGATGTACTCTAGGAACATGGGAATGGCTCAGTGAACAGTGAGCCAACTTTGGTCCAGCAACATCAGGAAGACGTGGGAAACAGGCTTCTTACCACCTGCAAAAGGAGCAGATAGCCACCAGAGGGCTGATGACCACCAGCACACTCGGTTTCTTCATCCTCATCCCTTCTTTTCCCAGGGTGGCATTTGGGAGCCTGGCCAGCCTTTGGGGATCAGCTGGGTGCAGGTGGCCTTACCAGCTGTAGGGCTGTGAGGGCTCAGGGCACGGGGAAGTGAGCAGAGGGTATGGGAAGGGCTCTTAGGAATAGCTTCAGTGAAGGAGGAGCAGGATCACCCTGGGTGTGATCGTTCCCAAGAGCTCAGTGGGATGCATGACCCTGAGATTACCCTTGCAAGAGCACTGGCTCCCAAAGATTGCTGCGGTTTTTCTCTTTATAATGCTGTGCACAAGGCAAAAACCAACCAGCAGCAACGTTTCACTGAATGAAAGTATGACCCATTCAAGGGGGGGGGAACTCCCACTCGTCTGTCCTTGGCAGAGAGAGGTGGTGAGCCTGATGTCCCAACCTCTGTCAGTGCGAGGCAGAAGAAATAAATGCCCTTGTTGTACACAGTCAGTAGCTTCAGTGAGAGGGGCTCTGCAGTACAGCCTGCTCTGCCGGGGTCTCCTAGCCCTGAGTGGCCGTGGTGACATGGCCTCTCTTCTCCTAATGCTCGTCCTAAACAATCCCCTTCTGCAGGCACTTGGGCTTGTGGAAGAGAAGCCAGGCAAACAGGAGCACAGACGCCAGCACAAGGGAGCACAGCACCATAAGCCCCACATAGCTGCCGTAGGAAAGAGGGGGTACAGCAGGCTCCTCTGCAGGGATCATGTTGGTCAGGTTCAGCATGTAGCCAAGGGTCCAGCCTGCATCGCTGCTGCCGATCTGAAATGGGAGAGGAGCGGAATCAATGCTGGGACATGCAAGGGCTGCCTGCATCATTGCCAGGGCAGTGGCACCCCTGGAGACAAAGGCTGTGCAGCAGAGGCTGCAGTTAGCTGCCCTCCCCGCCATGGAACACACCTTCCCAAGGAAGTGGATCCTTTGCCAGTTGTTTTCAGTGAAGTCATAGCCATTTTCCAGGAGGGAGAGGATGTAGGCTCCAGAGAAGCAATATTCACTCAGGTACTTTTCTTTTATTTGATGATATGCTGTCTTCACCTAGGGAGGGAGGAAGTCATCACGCTGATCAACACAGCTTCCCGCTGCTCCAGCTTGCACCTAAGCATCCACTGCAGGTTCTTGGGAATCTTTCCCCTCTTGCCTTGGAAGTTACATGCCAGCATTTACCCTACAGAAAAATACCAGCAATTCTTGCCAACCAGCAGCCCCAGCATGCTGCCACTGTACTGCTCACCTCATGCCAAGGCCGGGCGCAGAAGCTCTCAATGGTGGTGGCCACTTTGTCCAGGGCAGCGGGGCTTTGTTCACTGGTAAGATTCAAAAAGTTCATCACAAAGTAGAAAGCAGAAAAGGCCTGAAGGAGAAAGAATATTTTAACCTGATGGGGCTTCAGTATGATCAGGATAGCAGAAAGCCTGCAGATGAAAATGGTTTTATTTAGAGATGGAGAAATGTAAGAAGTAATACCACACATATAAAAGTAGGGATACTTTCAAGAGCAATGTCACTTGAGACATGCCCTGCAGAGCTGATGAGAGCTAAGGATCCCAAACAGAAGGTGGAGGTAGGAACTTCACTGACCACAGTATCCTGAAGAACTACAGTAAATCCCTCTCCTCTATGCACTGGTGCCAGAGTGGCACATAGTGAATGCCTCTTGCTGTAGCGACCACGATCCCATTTTGGCAACTGAATGAGATGAGCATGCAGCCAATATCACCACAAATAGCAGAGGTCTTGGTCTGAAAGGACTGTATGCAACCCCTGAATGTAACCCAAAGTCCATAAAACCCAGTGCCAATAGTTGATAGACAGGGGGCAGTTTATGAACAGGGCAAAGGGAGTATTAACAGTTCCCTCAGAAACCCTCACAGCCACTGAAGTCGCACAGCTCTAGGGCTGATGTTCGATGTGGTGTTGCATATGATATGTGTTCAGAGTGTGCACTGGCTCCTCATCACATCTGGGAAGCAGACAGGCGAGCTGACTGATTTGTTCCTGTAGTGCTCACACACTTCTGGATGAATTTAAGATCTGGTGCCGTCATTGACATCAGGAGACAAGGTTTATAAGAGAATGTCATGCATGGCCTGCAGCAGGCTGTCCTACCTCTGGTGCTGGCCATCAGGAAGGACTACTTGAAAAATGAATCAGTAAATGGAGCACCCCAAGGACATGCCCACAGGAATGGGTTAGAATGGGAACAGTGCAGTAATGGTAGGCCAGTATTTACTGGGGCAGCCCTTACACATGTAGTCCTCACAGCAAGTGCAGCACCAATTTTGTAGTTATATGTCCGAAAAATGATCTTGTAAATGATTTCCTGCACCAGCCATGAAGAATACACTCTAGCATTATTTTTAGTTTCTGCTCTTTTGATGCTCTGGGTTACAAAGAGTTGAAGGATGAGAAGACTTACCCCAAAGTCCCCTTGTAATGGAGGTAGGTATATCCCATTGAAGGAGCAACTGGAGTAAGGACAACTGGTTTTGTTAAAGAGTTTCTGGATGTTTCTTCGGCACTTCTGATAATCTCCCTCTCCCTGTATGTATAGCTGGCTGAAAGGGAATTGCTTTTTCTTGGCTGATGTACAAGGGGTTTTGAAGAGGTCACTTATATTTATAGTCCTCTGATACCCCTGGTGAAAGCATGGATCAAGGAGGCTGCTGTTCTCCATGGTCTGAAAGTAGAATCAACCCAAGCTGTTACACTTCACTCTGGAGTAATACTTGGGAAAGAGTCACAAAGAGCGGCCACAAGACCACAAGTACATCACACCAAGGTACACACATCAGGTCAGAGTGATGAGGATGGTTTAAGACATTGGCAGTGATTTGGGGGATGTGGGTACTGCCACAGGCTCCCTGTAGGACACTGGGCAAATTACTTTCAGACACATTTTGTGAAGGTGCTGTTGATTTGGGATTCTCAGAGACAGTGAAACATTACCCCCTAGAAGTACTTCAGTTAAGCGCGTACTACTGCTATACCATGCCCAGGAATCAAGGCACCTCAAATTGGTAGTAATTTGAAAATGTTGACTGTGATCTCTTTGGGCATCTGTCCAGTCTTTATGGAGGATAATGACATTCCCAAACCCAGACTAAGGGATGAGACATTTAGCTGGGACACAGAAAGTTGTACACCAGTATGTCAAAGCTGAGAGAGTCCAGGATCTCCACTGGCATTCACAGATGTACTTGCCTGTAGATCCTCGGCCAGTTTCTGTTGCAGAGCCTGGTCCTTCCCATAGCAGAGAAAGCTGTGAGTATACACTAAGTAATCCTTCCCATAGAGACGGAAGTAGAGCAGGTTCTCCGGGGACTCAGAAGAGAGTTCATTTGGTACAAAAGTAATCTGTGTTGAGGCTCCTCCAAGGTCCAGTGCTCCTGATGTCTCACTTATGGATTTCAGGGAATGTAGAAGTTTTTTCCAGCCGGACTTTAAAAAAAATAAAAATTCAAAAGTAAAACCAGATACATCAGGCATGAGGGGGGAAAAATAGACAAAGGGGAAAAAAAAAAAAGAGGAAGACCTCTGAGGAGAGAAGCAGAAACACAGAACACAGGAAAGGCAGGAAGAGCTGGAGGGGGCTCAGAAAGACAGGTCGTTCATGTCTGGGTGTTTGCAGGAGCACTAAGAATATGAAATCTAATACAACTGTTATGAGAAAAAACAGTCAATTTACTGTTTCAGCTCCCAGATGATTTATAAGCTCAATGATAAAAAATCATTGTCAAAGTTTGCAGGCACCAAAGTATTTTAGATCAGAAAATGAGGAAGATACAGCAAGTGGCTTGCTGTACCCAAGCAAAGTTATCAAAGATGCTGGTGTTTTATTTCAGTGCTTTAAGCCTGACTACAGTGGAACATCCTGATACCAGTAAGTATCAGGACGTACTCATGATAATTGCTGAGGCAAGATGTGCAGCTTCCTGATCTCTGGTAAACAGCTTACAAGAGAAGACAGTGGCTGCGACACCCTCCTGCAAGGCACAATTTACAAAGTGCTGAAAGGCAATGATTCAAATATGGACTTGCTGTTGATACAGTACCTGCTTGAAATTGCCCAGCAGGTAGTTAATGGTGATCCATCCATAGGCTCCTTCTTCCTGACCACTGATGATTCTGGCACCCTGGAAGTTGAAGGGAGCTGAACGTAGTGTCTTCTCTACTGAGGACAAGACTTTGTCAGCTGCACTTTTATTCTCCAAGCTGGATGAATGGAAGAAAGGATGGAGTGACTCTGGCTGACAGCTCTTTGCAGCCAGTGGGCTTTATTCTGAGTACACAGGCTGCAACTCCCCACCAAGTATTAGAACAGAACAGTCATTCATATGGGTAAATCCAGCTCTAACTGTTCACCTCCCTCTCTGTCACACCTTGCAATCACAGCTGCAACCAGCTCTGACACAGATCCTGCAGCTGAGAGTGGTGCCTGGAGCAGAGACCAGAGCTCTCTTGTTCTCCTGGAGCAAGTGCCCTGAAGAGACTGCACCGTGGAGATTGCTCTCACCTTTTGCCATTACCATTACAGAAGAAATCCATCCCCAGGGAGATTTCCCAGGCAATATGTATGTAAAATCAGCTCCCTGATCAGTCAGGCAAGAGGTCCAAGGCACTCCCATGAAAATCACAAATTGGAATTAAAGGAGGACATGATTATAAAGTTACATTAGCTCTGATAATCTTGGGCTGAGTCAAGTTATGTGGGGAGCTGAAAAATGGATGGGCTCAAAAATCCTGGGTCAGGCCTAATACCAGACTGTGGGGGATGTCAGAGCATTCTCTGAGCATCAGATCGGGCACTGCTACCCTCTTGGTGTCTGCGCTGCATATACTGGTGGAGATGATGGAAGGTTGGACTGAGTGGAGATGGACCTGCTGGACAAGTAAGGGAAGAGCCCAGGGAGACTCGGGAGTCAGAGAAGCCAGCAGCAGCAGAGGGTATCGGGGCAGTGTGATCCGGCAGCATGTCCAAGGTCTTTGCCCAAGAGGTCTCCACTGAGCACCCAGTCAGTACCAGGCACAGTGCTGCAGGAGAAGGGGACAAGCTCTGCAGTACCTGAGAAGCCGCATGCCAGCAGTTGCTCCGAGGTAGACGGGTGTCTCTTGGTGCTGCTTTGAAGGAATCACATCTTCTGCTTGTCGTAGGCACTGTGCCAGAGAGGGACCTGCCTTCTCTGTGGCATGGGAGTAACCTGAGATCCCAGGGCCTGCAAGAAATAAGGACACTTCATTGCTCAAACTCCAAGCATACCCCCAGAGTGCTGTCATGAGCACTCTGTATTTAACTGTATTAAACTGCATTAAACTGTATCACTATCACAGGCAGCAACATCACATTCAGCCACTCTATTTCTAAGGGGTTTTCGAAATCCTACAGCGCCAACTAAGCCTGATGCATGCAGACAGCCACAGCACCCAGCATCTGCCACCCTGCTCTCCACGGAGCAGGCTATGAAGTAATGATGAGGGCTGCAATGAGACAGATAATTTGCTTAGTGTGTCCTGGACATCTGCAAACTCATCTCTGCTTCTGCCTGGGTGTACCCTGGATCTGTGCCTGAAAATCCCTGACACTTCACTGCACTGGGTCCTCCAGGGGAAGATGCTGTCATTTGTTTGTGTATTGTATGTGCACATTACAGCACTGAGTGTCTTGAAGCTATCCCCTTCATGCTAACCCAAAGAAAAATTCGTTGTCCCTCCCTGCCACATGTCCCCTGGTGAATGGACTGCCCCAGGACCAGCGCCTGTGTGAGCAGTGAAGCCCACTCTGCGTGTGCTCCAGGTTGCTGTATGCTCAATGTGCTGCTCGTGGTGTGGCATGCTGCAAGCATCAAGTGGCTGTTGCAGCAGCTCAATAACAGCACGTCTCTCCCCTGCAGTGCAGTCAGGCCTGAAAAGACCCCAGGCAGGCTCGGACAGCACTTCTCCTCCACCCAGAGTGCGCTGATCCATGGTGGTCTATGCTGTTCCTTGTCATGTGTATCCTTGAACTTCAATTATGCCTTTCTAAACCATACAGTATCTACACAGCAATTAAATAGAATAAAGAATAAATGATGAAATGCATAAGTTGAGCAACCTTGGCCCACAAGCACAGTGCCTAGCTTGCAGAGAAGCCTTGAAAAGAGCAAACCATGCCCTCCCCTCTTGCTGCCTGACATTCATTGGCACTTCAGCAAGGGTGCATGCAGGCGCTTTATTTATTTAAGTACATTCTTTGGTGTAGTTTTTTCCAATAAGCACTTACTTCCAAGCATCCTAAAAACAAAGGAAAAAGTAGATCCAGCTTTCCTCCCAGGAAGGTCAGGCATACACAGCTCCCTGTGGGAAGCAGTGGGATATACACGACCTCACAGATGTAACACTGTTTTCACTATTGGCCTCTTTCTCCAGGTTTTTCCTCCCACACCCTTTGACTGCATTATCACTTCTTCATCCCATCCCCTTCCATATGTCCCTTTCTTCCTCTTACCTTCGACTTTACACACCTCCACCTGCTGCACCACCCCAGTGTCATTCTCTTTCTCTGCTGGCCACTCGTACACATACAGGTTAGTGTGGGACGACCCCGCATCCAGCACAATCCCATACTGTGGGCAAAACAGACCATCATCGCACCTGAGGCACCAAATCAGACACAGCATATGCTGGTCTCCACACCTGGGTGGGACCAGAAATAAGCAGCCTATCTGGCAGCTGTGGGAACATTACTGTGTGTCATTACTCTTCTCAGGACTGCTTCAGTGCAAAGTTTCCATCAAAGGACACAAGAGCAGAAAAGCAGCAAAACATCAACTAGGAGATGATCTGTTTTTACCATGAAGATGTAAAATAAGATGTGGAGGTACATGAAGCCAGAAAGAGACGTTAGCTGGATCCAGCAAGGGCAGCAACATGTCCTGGAGCACTATACACACCTAAAACCCCCAGCTTGGCTTGTTTTCCTGTAAAAGCCCCAGCTCATAATACCTTAATATTCTTCGGAAGTGGCTTGTTTTGGGTCACTGCTACAGCAATTAAAGCAATTACAGCCAAAGTAGAGAGGAATCCCAGGATGAGTAGAATCTTTCTTGTCCAGGACATCTTTGGTTTGGTACCTGTGACTAAAGCAGAAAAAGGATGTTAGTATCCCAGCAGCCCATTCACCTCACACCTCAAAGGTCTTCATGCACATTCCTGCAGACCCTTTCGATTATGAAGCATCTGTCTTGGCCAATCCCTGCTCCATTTCCTGCACCGTGTCGTCATGTGGGATTTCTTAGAGGTAGAGCTCAGCCCCAGTGTCCTTCCGCCATACCATATATAAAAAGCATAACTTTGTAGAATCTAAAGCTTTAACCCTTTTACTAGGAGACATTTCTCCTAGTGTACTTTGTGCTTCAGTTTTTTTACAATGTTCATAACAATTTACAACATCTTCACTACCAGTGACACATTTAGGAAGTATAACACTAACATTTCAGTATGTGGCAGTCAGTTCAAGCAATGCTGTCTTGCACCTTGGCAAGGCTATATAAAAAGTATGAACTGCACTACACAGGGTATTTAAGAAAGCTATGGAGATTTCTGATGCCACTTCTCACAAGGCCAGTAAATTATAAATAGCCTGTATTTTCAGAATTGGCATAATATAGTTAAAAATAGCACACTTTGCAGAACTCAGACCAGTATGAGTCCTTAACTGTTACTGATATATTTGGTATGACCTATCTAATAAGTTAAGACTTTTATGGCTTAAAATACATGGCTAGCAGCAGAATTCTGTAAAGAAAAGCCACTTATGGCTCATGCAAATCATTCACAACCAGTATGTCATTTGAGCTTTCAGAACCAATATATATACCTTCATTTGTTAGTGTCTAGCATGATGCTGTCTTACGTATTTTCCTGCTTTGGATTCTCTTTCATATACCCCATAGTGGAAATCTCACTTCACAATTTAGGCTCATCCAGTTTTGGTATTGTTTAATAGAATACCATCTTACAACACAAAGCTCTAGAAAGGGTGTCAGCAAAAGTATTTTCCAGATTTATAACCTAGCTGTAAATTTAACACTTGGAACTAAAGAATAGTTTCATCACTCTAGGGGACACACCTGCTCCCGCTAGGATGTGAAATCTATTTCTACCCATACTCAAAAGCACTAGTTGTCTGACTGCTCACACGAGTAGTAATTTTCTTCTCCTTATACACAAATACCCTAGGAGATGTTTAGAAATACATTATGGGTCATCCAGGATGACAATACCTCTGTGCAGGCGACCACATCAACTATCTTCACGCTCCAAGAGGTAAGGTGACCGAACCTGCTCTGTATCTGCATGCTAGGACTGAAGTTCCAGAGGTCATTCTCCAGTCCTCAGGTGATACTGGGTCAATGCTCCAAACCCATCTTGCCCCCCCCCCCCCATTTCATGCATGAAAATCTGAAAAGCTTTCAAGTTCTGAACAGGGTAATTTTCTAATCACTCTGGTTTCATGTGAAAGATGGTCCCAGGTGCCAGAACTATACAAACCCAACCTTACAGATGACCTGGAATCCAGTTAGCCAAAGTGAAAAGAAGCAGCACAACTCAGGAAATCTTTGACTGCAAACAAATAACACCTTCCCACCTATCTAGAGAAAATGGAACCTAAAAGTACCAAGAGAACTTGTTTTGAAGATCTCCAAGCAGGCAGGTCCATTGGAAACCTAATGCTGACCTGGAGCTCTGCACTTATGTGCAAATCTGTTGAGGCTAACTGGAATCTGGAAGCTTGTTGTGCTTGCATGTTGTGAGTGCCTGTTAGAGGCACAGCGTGCTTGCCAGTACCTCCAAGAATGCTGCTTAAAATAATAGTCTAGTGCACATACCAGACAGCAGGAGGTAAGAATGCGTTTTATACAGCTTTATTCAAAAAGGCTGCTGCACTCTGGGTTTGAAGTTATCAGAAACAGCAGAGCATGACAGCTGTGAGGCATTTCTTCTTATTGGAGAGAGCATTTGGCTCAGGTTGTGATAGCACTGAGCATGTCTGATGAACAAGAATTATTTTAACACTAGAAAAATGATTAAAACCAGATGCTATAATGTAAAGAGAGCTGCACAGTATGAATGTGAGGCCAGCATGCTTGACAACTGAAACTGCTGCTGACAGTTGCACAGCACATCCATCTAATTATTGCCACCCTTATTCCGAGATCTTGCCTAGAAACAGCCGCTACTGGCTTTGTTAGGTGTTTACTGTCATAGGAACAAAGCATGCGTGACTTTGCATCATTTCTAAGATTTTAAAACTTCCTGTTGTGATGGGTATTGTCTGCTCTATCTTTTCAGCAGCCACACTCTGAAATTAGCAGCATTAGCAGCAAAGAAGGAACAATTTTCTCACTGTAATGGACTATCCCAATAAACAACTTCAGAAATCCCTTGTCTGTAGGCAGAGACATAATGGTAATTATCTGCATCCCACCTGCAACCTGAGATTAGTCATATTTTCCAAGGCATATTATTTCCTTAATCCTGAACATGACTTCTGTGCGACTCTCAGCTTGGTAGCATGAGCGCTTTTCAGGACTCTGGAGGTTGTAGATTTGTGCTTTTGTTGCTGTATCCTATACCAGAGCACCCATCTGTGTGAACTCTTAACACTCCAAGCAGCATTTTGTGGAAATGTTTCATACTAGAAAAGGTACAAAATTATAATCCAGAAGGCAGCCTAGCAACTAACCTTCCAAAGAGCACTCAAAGTGTACAGACTTGAATAATTATTTAAAAAAACCCAAACCACAACACTGCAAATCCAGATAAAGAAGTCAGTGTAATCAAAACTTGTCTGCCATTTACTCAGAAAGGTGAGGTATTTGAACAAGTTCCCTTTTCTGCACACTTGGTTACATCCATCAGCTCTAGGCACAATTACAGTTCTGCAGTGGCTAAAGAATCAGCTTATTTCCTAAACTCTGCCAGTTTCTTTGAGCCCCACATCATGTTGCTGAATGCCATGCAAACACTCCTTGGTCTCCACCAAGTGGTGCAGTACTGGACCATCTACCTCCTCTGCCAGGCCCCAGGACTTTTCTTCTATTATCAGCTCTTTTCCTTAGCTAACAATTAAGCAGGCAAGATCTTTTGTCTTTGTGCCCAGCCAGAACCAAACAGAGACAGATTTCTGTTCTTTCTGCCATACTGTCCACTTTAAGGCATGATAAAAACATCATATAAGGGGCAGAAGTAGGCACAGAAATGACACTGCTTTTCTTCTTTTTTTCTTCACTCCAAGGCTCACCCAGACTGCCTGGTGCTGGAGCCAGCTGTGCAGGCACTAAGCACTCTCCAGATGTTGGAGCACAACCCAGCTGTGCAGGCATCTCTGTTTCTAATTCTGGTCTCTGTTTTTTTCCTGCAGGGGCAACTACTGGTTCCATCCGGTGATTGGTACATGTACCAGAACATAAGCAGATCTTATTCTGTCAATGATCAACTAAGAATGCCGCTGATAGCCACTTCTGTTTTGCTGCAGAAACTTTTTTGTTCTCTGTGAATAACCCAGGAAAGGCCAAACCAGCATGGGAGGGAGCTCTGTGTGAAGGCAAGGAAGCAGGACTTCCAGATGAATAGGAAACTGCTCTCCACCCAGCATCATGCAAAGTCACCGGCAGCTCTGCACGCCAGATGTCACTCACAGCCAAGGCTACCCACACCTCCCAACTCCCTTCTTACCAAACAAGACTTGGCACCAAACGTTAAAAGGAATCAGGCAGCCAGCTGCTTTTAGAGATACACTAAGGATAGACTAAAGCTGGCTTAAGGACTGAAATTAGGATTGTCAAGCAGAAAAGGAGAGATGGTGTGCACAGCCTATAGCCAGGCCCAGTTCAGGTAACCTCACTGTGACCTGTCACCTCTAATAAATACAAATACTGTTGTAAGCTCTGGTTTAGCACAATATCTAAAGTTGATGTTTGCTTTTTCATTTGGATGCTCATGCTCAGCCTGTCACAGAAAGGATCACAAGAGGCTGTACTGCAAGGCCATCACTCTTACACTGCGCAAGTGCCACACCGAGAGACAGTTCCCACTGTTACTTTTCTGCTCTCAGGCCACCTCTGTATGGTTGCAAACATTCTAATTTTCAAGCTTTATTTATTTATTTATTCCCCCTGTCTTTGTTCCACCTCTGTCTCAAAATGTCTGCAACTCTCAGTCCTCCTGGAATTTATTCTCTTAACCAACTTATAAGAAATGAGCTTTTCTGGATTTTTGTCTTTCCAGCCTTCTCCATCTACCTGAACAGTCCAGCAGCCCTTCTCCACATACAAAATAATCTGATTTTATTTTTCTTATAAATTCTGACCAGCACTGCAATGAGACTAGCCTTGCACTGCAATGTACCCATTACACAGGATATAACACTGTCCCAGGCTAAATTAAGTGAGGTGGGGAGATGTACAGTCTCAGACACATGATTGTGTGCCATCATGGGCAACGTTAAGTCAACTCTCCCATGCACCTCTGCTATGTAATCCCAGCAAATTCACATTTAATCACATTTAATTAAATTAGCATTGCTACATGCTGTAAGCAAAGGGAGTTCCAAGACACACTGCCTGCTGCCCACAAGGCTTGGAGTGACGACAAAGAATAAGACGGCGTCTTATGAATCCTGCCCATCAGCTGGCAGCTACCTCTGCTGCAGATCGCCCACATTGCTGCTGCAATCTGTTTGTAGTCTCTCCAATAACTGGTTCCTAAGCATATGTCCAGTCTTTAGGAGAGAGCTGCTGAATGCTCACAGGGGCATGGTTTAATGGTGGCCTCAGCAATGCTAGGTTAACAGCTGGACTTGATCTTAAAGGAGTTTTCTAACCTAAACAATTCTATGATTCTATGCAATCATGCAGCCCATCAAATGGGAATATAGTCTGCAGGGCTCCTGAACCTAAATGTATCAGAGAGACACAGAGCAGTGCTGAGAAGCTACTGAATTATGACCCATCACACAGGGACACAGGCATACTTGAAGACTGAGAAAATGTACGGACTGAAATGAGTCAGATACCACTGTATTTTTAAAGCAACAACTCACCTGCCTGCCTGCCAGCTGAAAGTGCACAGGAGT